ATTTCTTTGATGCTCTCATTTGCCAGAGTGTGGAAGACAGGCCTGGGGATTCCTCAGGGGACTGAGGGAATAAACAGCTGGACAGGAGGCTCCAAGTTACAGCTTGGAAACAAGGCAAAAGGCAGGTTTTGAGTTAATTAATCTGTTCAGCAACTCTTTTCTTTCCGGTGACACGTCTATGAGGTTCAGAGGGGATGGGAGAGTTCATTTGTGAGTTATCAAAGACACCAGGAAAGACCCTTTCAAATAAGAGCTCCTTGCCAGGCTCTCCTTTTCCAGGCCACAGGGGCAGCTGAAAAGTGGAGAAGATACCTCCAACAGCAGAACATGTCTTCGCTTTTGCTGGGTCCTGCACAAGTAGCTCCCAATCTTCAGGGTCCAGCAAAGTACTTTAAACTCTCAAAAAGTATCACAGGGCAACCTGCATGCCTTAGTGTCAAGTTTTTAACTAACACCACTATAATTTTACAATTTAATTAAACAAACTTGCTGTGAATGATTTTACCCAGGCCTCAGTCCACAATCCGTGAAGGAATGCAATGTCTTCTAGTCACTGGTGCATGCTAAAAAGAGAATCCTATAGTAACGCTTGAGGCTTCTCATTGTGGTGTAGAGCTCCGTTTTTTAAAATCCATCTTTAAGACTACTTATGTAGCAGCTCTCAAACTACACCGTGACAAGGAAACGCATCCTGGGTATGCACGAGGAGAGGCAGAGCGACTTGGGTCTTTTTAGTCTAGAGAAGGCTGAGGGGGGAACCTGATCAATGCTTATAAATACTTAAAGGGTGGGTGTCAAGAGGACGGGGCTGGTCTTTTTTCAGTGGTGCCCAGGGATAAGACAAGAGAAAATGGGCACAAGCTTGAATATAAGAAGTTCCACCTAAACATGAGGAGGAACTTCTTCACTTTGAGGGTGGCAGAGCCCTGGAAGAGGCTGCCCAGGGAGGTGGTGGAGTCTCTTTCTCTGGAGACATTCAAAACCCACCTGGACAAGTTCCTGTGCAACCTGCTCTAGGTGGACCTGCTTTGGCAGGAGGGTTGGACTAGATGATCTCCAGAGAGATCCCCCAATTCCAACCCCATGTGATTCTGTAACTGAGACCAGCTGGATGCCGAGCAGAAGTGGACAATGGAGGAATATGGATGCTGTGCTCCATCCTGGCCCCAGCGATGCCGTCCTGGACACACCAACCACTCCCATCCCAGGGGGCCTCCCACCCACAAACATGATCCTCCCTCCCTCCTCTCATACCAGACGGGGCTGAGGTCCATACTAAGAGCAATCAGCAGCCACAGCCAGGTACTAGAATTGTGTTGGGATACCACAGGTTACAAACGTTTTTGAAACTAGCAGCACATAACAACTGGCATGGGTTTCTGCTGGCCTACATAAGTAGTAAAAGGACACGTCTGAGGCTGCAGGTGTTTCCGTAGCACACAAACACCTAACGTGGCTTTAAGTGAGATGCCCAGGTGCACAGAGAGCCCCAGAGGCAGCACTAAAATACCTGAAGGGCAACGTACCCTCTTTTTTAGCTGGTCGCACTATTGCCGGGTCTGGAGGGTCAGATGTGCTGTCATGGCACCACCCTGCAGACCGCCCTGCTGGCCACTCCACAGCACAAATCAAGGAAGAAAAAGAAACAACATTCTTAGCTCACATAGTTACGTGCTAGCATTGAAAGCGTTTCCATCAACAGCTTCTGACCAGCGGCCAAAAATAACATTACACTTTCCTCACAAAAGTCTGATATCTCATAGACCAAGCATTAAGATGCCCGGAAATAAACCATAAAGGGATTTCATCAGTTCCCGGCTCCTATTTAATACCTGATTATCACCTATCGCTATAGTCAATTTATAGCACCCATTCGAGCTTCCATGTTTCATTCTGAAGGGGGAATGTTATTTACACAGGACAAGTATCCACGTAACCACAAAGTAATAAATCTTTTTTAGTATGTATAATAGTAAATGTGTAATAGAGACTTTTTTTAAAGCAATGTCACTCCAGGGAACAAATTTGAGGGAATTTACTGCCCAGATAACGTTTTGGTGGAAAAAAAATATCATTTAGTCTCCTACAGAATGATAAATGGCATTATGAAGAACATTGGCTACAAGTTATTTAAAGTTTAGGCAAAGGAAAAATTCATGCATTCTGCATAACTGTACTAGCTTTATAACTATCACGGATTATTTGTGCATAGGAGCCCTCTGTCAAAGAATGCATTGTGATGGGCGCCGTACAGGCACAGAACAAAAAGACCACTCTTTGCCTTATGCTAAATAAGAAGTTGCAGATGTGATTAATATGGTTTATAAAAAATGGAAACTTTAAAGAGAAAGCAGGATTTTATGAACTTCTGTATTAGCAACTTTTAACATGCATATTCTCTAAATTTTAAGATGCAAATCCAACGCTTATCTGTGATTGCAAATTGAATGAAAAGAAGCAATGAGCAAGTAAAGTTTGTACGATAGTCTAGAAACAACCAAATAACCCTCCACTTCTAGCCTTTGCCTGCAGTTTTACAATGTTTAAGACTCTTAAAAAGCAAAGCTTAGTATTTTTGGCTAGAACTGCAACTGTACATATTACAGTACTTCAATCCAGTTGAACTGAAATTTTTTTGCAGGAAGTTTTTCTTTTCAAAGCACCTAAGGGATTCCAGGAGCTCTGGCAACATGGGTACCTGTTAGAGGCAATCACAGCATGTGTGTATAAAGAGGGTGAGAGGTTTGTGTGACCCCAGTATGGAAGTGGCATAAGAAGCTGGAATAGAAAGAGCAGGCCCTTATCCCCAATGACAGCTTTAGTCCTATCAATGTCTATAAAGGTTACTTTAAGCCTTCATATATTTGGTATTTGCCTCAAAGTCATTACATATGGACAATTTTGGTCAAGGCTAGACACAAGTTCTCATGTCAGAGCCTTCACAGAAAATATCCAATCACTTTCCTTCTCACCTTTGAAATATAAGAATTCATCCTGGAATACTTTTGCTGATCTCAGCTGTGACAACAGAGTACAAGGCACAAATTGCCTATCGCCTTTGGGGTCAACTACCACAAGACTGGTCTCTGCCTCTCCATCCCACCAGTAACACTGCCACAGGTTGAGAAGATGGAATTACTGAAGTCTCTCCCCGCGTTACCCCCTGGGTTCCCACTCTCGCCTTCGTACAAACTTTTCTATTTCAGCACTAGATTAGCATCTCCCACCTGCGGGAGGCTGTCCATCTTTCTGAGCCTACTCTCCTCTCCAAACTACATTGCCACACCAACAATATCAAAGGTCTTCCTGTTTATCACACCTTATCTGTCAGTTACAGGCGCTGTTTAATGCTATTATGATATATGCACTGTTATGTGCTATTTAATGCTACCCATTGGGGAAAAAAAACCATTAAGACATTAATGTTAAAACATAAAATAAAAGATTAAACATGGTGCAAAGCTCCTCGTCAAGGCAAATCTGGTGAGAAAGAAGATAACACTCCTGCCAGTCTTGGGCCTCTCTTCCCCAACTGCTAAGAAACACTCATTGACTTATGTCTATTGGAGACCCTGCTTAACTGCAAATAGGCAGCCAAATGCTGTTATGGAAGAAACAAATATGTCATTGACTGCACAACGAAATACATCATCGAGTTGGACTTTTAAAAACTTTCAGTCTCCAGTGAACTCTGCAAGGCTGAAACAAGAGAGTCCTATGGTATGGTTACCAAATTGTCATTTAATGTTCGTACTTAGCACTTGTACACTGCTTTTTATTTCTAGAGAGCATAATGGCAATTTATTTAACGAGTAAGTGCTAAGAATGACTAACAATGCGGAAGAGAATAAAAATCAAATAGTATCTTCAACACTAAAGTAAACATAAAGCAATGAAAGGTTACTCTTAGCTTACTTCAATGCTGCAACTCTTCTTACAACATGCCAGCATCTACTAAAATCTGTTCCATTCATAGCTGTACTACAGATCAGAACTATATTATCCAAAGATGGATTCAGATTAAATTATGGGCAGAGTATTTGTAAAATACGTTAGCTTTGAGTTAAAGGTAAAATATATTAAAAACCTGTAAATTACTTTCCACCTTTCCCTTTTCTATTAAGACTACCAGGTTTGGTTTAGGTGGTTTTTTTTATTTTATTCAACATTCTCCAGTATCTTTTCTTGAAAAAAACCAATAAAATCCATAGACAAATAAGAACTTAAGAGTCCAAGATATGCTAGTATACTGCTGGCTAAATGACTAGGCTAGTTTTCTGGCCAGGCAACTCTTCAAGAATCATTTTCTCTACTACAAGCAGGAGTTATCAATTAAGTCAACGCAGCCAGGAGACAAGGCGAGGGAGTCATGCTACAAAGAAAGGCAGCATCAAATCAAAGCCTGGCCCTGGGAGCTCATACCACATTTCAAACCATTTCTGCCCGCAGCGCTATAGCATTTCTCGAACAGGAGGAGTAAATTACCAGACACTGAAATTTTGGCTGCTTGCTCTTTCTCTTTATTTCCCTCCCCAGAATTTCCAAAGTCTGCACGGCTTTAGTTACGTGTTGTATCCCAACACCCCCAAGAGCATTGCGCTACGGCATCTTCTCCTTGGTTGGGAGTTGTCTTCAAGCCGTTATCGTTTCGCTTTTGGGATTTCTACTGGAGCCAAGGAAGCCGGGGAGGGAGCGACAATGGGAATATCCGGCTCTGCCTCCCGCTGGAAAAAACAGCGACAACAGACGGGGACGGGAAGATTCCCCGACACCGGGGGACAACTGTCCTGTTAGGGGGAGTCAGCCCAACAGCTCCGGAGGGTGACTCCTCCAAAAAAACTTCCCCAGCTGTGTCGTGACCCGCAGAGGGGAGCCCCGCCGCTCCTCCTACCTCACCCTCGGGCTCCCTCAGCCCCGGTGACCGGACCGGGGGTTTGTGGGGGGGGCCCATCACCCCGCCCCACGGCGACCGCCACCTCCCCGCGTCGTCCCCCCCTCACCTTTTGCTCAGAGGCCGGACCCGCACGGCCACCTTGACGTTAGCCATGGCTCCCCTCACGCCCAGCAGCCCCGGCCCCGCATCGCGGCGGCCCAGAGGCCGGGGAGGGAGGAGCGGAGCCGCCCCGGAGGGTGAGGGGAGGGCCCGGGGGCGGCCCGGCCCAGGCAGGCCCCGCGGGGGCGGGAGGGAAACCTCCGCGGGGTGAGGGGGCTTCAGGGAGCCCCTGAATGCCCACGGTGTGGTGAGGGGGGGGCTGCCCTGGGGATACCCCCTAAAGGACTCCCCAAGGGAATCCAACTGGGTTTCAGGAGTGAAAAACCCCTCAGTCTAACCCTAATGGCGCCCACAAACCAGCGCTGTTTAAAGCGTAAAGCACCCCGCGTTTAATTAATTAACGGGACAGGAATTGAAGGAAGAGAAGCACCCCCTCCTCGCTAGTGCTAGAGGAAAGCTCTCAAGTGTCTTAAATTCCTTTGAAAAGCCTCCAGTCTTGCACTTACTGTGTAAAATAAAATCTTGAAGCTCCCCAAGAGCTATAATTGAAATCAATGCAAAACCTTGGTAAATGTATTGCACTTAGAGTAATATAAAAAACACCGAAAGTTTAAAAAAAAAATAGCTTTTAGAATATTGTCCCTGTCACTACGGCCATTCCTGTGAAGACACGAGCGCTGGCCGTGCCGGCTGCCCAGCTCAGCAGACAATGCCTGTTTGGCTGTTGCCACTGTCACTACTCATTTTTAACTCGACTTTTTCTGCTTTTGCATTTCAAAACATGAAAAACTGAGCTGTATCTGAATATAAGAGTGTTCTACAGTCTATTTAAACAACTTCTGTTTAAATAGTACTATTTGTTTTTACTTTAAGTGTCGTTCTCCTCATGAGACAATTTGCCTTAAGCTCCAGAAACGTTAAATCTAAATGCAAAAGAAATCACAATACAGAAACCTCCCTGAGTGAAGCATGGGATGGGTCCTTGGGACCCAACACTTTTCCTAACTCATGACCCACCACAGCACTGCTAAAATGAACACCTACAATCACTGTTTACTTCAACAGATTTATCCCTAAAGAATGAATTTGTACAAATGGTATTAGCTAAACCCTACAACCATTGCCACAGTCAACCCTCCAATAACCGATACAGTAAAAGAAGAAAATATGCTTGATTCTTTGGGATATAGCAGAAACACTTGTCTTCACTTTGAAGAATTATAATGAACAAACTAACTAGAAATTTTCTCATCCTAATTCCAGAAGCATTAAATTATGACAGCTTTAATTTGCCTGACCTAAATCATCACTAAGAGACAACATGAGAGACGTTAAGCCTGTGACAGATGCATAGGATGATGATTCCAGAAGTTTGGATTCTGTTTCTTCTTGTTTCACAGAATGCGCAAAGCATTTTCAGTAAAAATGCCGGCTCCTCTGCAATTGCATAGCAGACTTTCATTTCCACATCTGAAATGACAGTGATGTGTGACTTCAGCCACAAATCCTGCAATGACATCTAGCAAGAGTTCACACAAACATCCCGTTTGGGTTTATGGGACTCAAACACCACTTTATATTCCCAGATCCTATCTGCTGACATTCTACTCGAGTTAATCCAAGTTGTTTCTATCCTCTTAACTAGCAGCAGAGAGGAACATCACCTACACTGACACAGTATAATAAAGAATTGTTAAGCTATACACCTTGTCATCACAGCAGAATGATGTACTCTAAAAAGATTAAAATGGGATTCTCAGAAAATTTTAAAATATTGAATAGACCAATTGCAAGTAAGCCAGACCAGAGTGTGCTCAAGAACCAAAGATTAGGTTTGGTTTTAATAATCAGGCAATAATCAGACGAACAACAGTGAAACGTGCGGTACTGAGCCACCTAGTGGTTACTTTCAGAAAATAAAACACTCATTTTCAGAAACTGAAATCAACAGGTGGGATATCTGAAGGATTCAGATAACATAAGCAATACAACAGTAGAAAGGAATACATCTACACCACTTCCAGTTTGCTCTGTGTCCTGAACACAAAACTGGACGTCCTCCAAAGACAACCAAATGTCTGGTTGGTTACTGGTTCATACACATCCTGCCAGTGACATTTTACCAACATGTCTTTCCAGGACATAAAAATTGCTAAACTTTCAAACTGGAACAACTAATGCTTTTGCTAAATTGTCAGTCACGGTCATAGAACAAGAGTTTTATTCTATGAGGGGCACTGAGGACAGGGCAAGCAACAGAAAAGTAGAGACTGAAGAATATATTTACTGGTATGATAGAAACATGGTTTGCAAATCACTACTCTGATGTATAATCACTGAATCCACTCCTTGCTTTCCCACACAGCCACATCATAGCCATCATAAATTGTAACTTAAAAATTGATTAGTTTCTTGGTTGGAAGTCATATAGAAGCATAAGCTGGGACCTAAGACTTTACACTGTTCTTTTAATTATAGGATTTTATAACAAAATAAAAAACCAAAAGCGACAGCTCTTGAAACGTAGTGCTTTTATTGAAGTTTTATAATGGCATACAAAATACAGTGTATTATCAAGATACTTACAAAAACAAATAGAGACACTATAGCAAGTGCATGAGAAATATCAAAACAAATTTGCATTGAAGATACAGGCTCCAAGGGAATCCTGTCCAACTATTTCAAAAAGGAACTCCTTAACAGTCTTCTCAGTAGTCTCTCTTCTTGTGAGCTACTGCTCATTGTCCCTCCTTTTGTTTTGAAGCAGTTGGAGAACTGTTACATAAGAACAGAAATATAAAACTACCTACAAAGTCCCTGTTGGATGACAGCACAACTATGTTGCACTTTTCCCAGGAGACCGTAAAAAGGTAGTTCTTTGAATAGCCATCCTACTTGAGAATGAGTTAGGGTTAAGATAAGCCAAGGTCCAGCTCAGCAGTATTGCAGATGCTGTCAGAATACGCTGCTTTTTGCAGTTCGCTCCACTTCAATATTTGGTCTCCCAGCTCCTCCAGCTCCATGGCAAGCATCTCTGTTTTTGTCAAAGCAGTATCCTAAAGCAGAAGAGTTGGATTTCAATCTCTACACATCCTGTCCCTCTAGCAAGACATAAAAATAACCTAAACAATCAAACAGCATTGAATTCTTAATGCTGAGTGAAGCGGAAGGCTTGGCTCTTTTGCTACTCACCATATTCTTCATGACAGTTGGTATCTGAGGGATGCTTCTTGCTGTCTGCAAATGGCTTTCAAGCTTGTCAATGAAAGTCACAGCCTCAGCCAACAACTCTACTACATACCTGTAACCAAGAATGAGCCCCCTACTCAGAAGCCGTGCAAAACAATGAGGATTTTCTACTTCCTATTTCTTTCCCCTGTGGATTTTCTTAGTCCTCTCTTCCAGTTCATACGAGTTCTTAACCATCTAATTAATTTCTCTGCAATTACACTTTTTTTTTATGACTCTCAGGATCAAGTATAGCAGGAATTACAGAAGTGAATACACACTTCTTCAGAAGCTGGACTAGATTTTTAGACCATGAGAAGGACTATATTTTTAAAACAAGTACAATGCATGTCTGGGAACCATTCACACACTTGTGCTGAGCAAGTCACAGTGGAAAGCAGACACCAAATGCTGAAGTAAAAATTCCTTCCTATGGAGAAACATAATGAATCAAGCATTTAACACACCTGCTTAAAGCAAGACATTACAAGTTGTTATGTAATCTTCAGAAGACAACACCAACAAATTAAGCAAATATACATCACCACCTTTCTTGAATTTTGCAACGAGTAAACAACTAGCTTTTAGTTGAAGTTCTGCTACCATTTTGTATTTCTATTCTTCTCAATGGAAAAGCAAATGAAAGCAAGCAATTTTTACTGCTTATTAGTTCAAATTAATTTGGACTCACACAAACAAGAACCATTATTTTCTATACGCCTACTTGTGGGAAGTAGCCTCAATAGGCAGGCTCTCCTGACATCTGGGCTTTATCAACATCTTCCTAAGAGTTCTCTTCTCTTTCAGTACGGCTTCCAAGTGTCTGTTCATACCTTGCAGTATTTCACATTTCTTGCCTATAAAATAAAATTGCAAAGTTGAAACTATTATCCTGCTAAAACAAGAGCAAAGAAGGAAAGAGCGAGCAAGACTGAAAAAAAAATGTCTGATCTTTCACACTGGAGAGCTTACACTCAAGAAGATATAATTTATCAGATTACTTTTGTTGGAGTGTGTAGGACTTGGTATCAGCATGCACCTCAAAGTCGTAATACCTACTTTTAGAGATACAGCTTAGTTAATTATTTTACATTATCTATAGTTTTAAGTACACTGTCTTTGAGATGAAACCAACTTCTTAAACTATACCACAGCACTGAAGCATTGCAATGTATTTCACTAGCCTAACACAGCAGCAGCAAGCTAGAATGTTATTAAGCATCATCAAATCATAGTGGGAAAAGTGTACATTAATAAGGAAATGAATACATATGTTCCCAAAACACTAAAATAAAAATCCAAGTAGTTTTAGGGGCATACAGACACAGTAGAAATACACTGAGTTATTGGAAAAGCAGTAAAGCAGCACACAGGCCAAGGGAAGCAAATCAGGTTACTATGAGTTACACATGGAGCTTCACCTGAGACAGCAGAGTGCAAGTTCAAATGGTATGGAAGCATTCTTTAGAGGCTAATAAAACACCTGCCACCTCTAGCAAGCTATCCAGTGGAAACAGCTGCAATAACTTCCAGATTTGTCATGCTTTCAAATGAAATATTAATCTGCTGATGAAGTCATTTAACACTATTGGTTTTACTAAGGTACACCAGCACTTACCTAAGTAAAAAGGGTGAGCAATGTCTGCTGTCTCATTCTCCAACTGCAGAATTTCAGCTTTCAGTTTTTTCTACAACAATAAAATAATCAAATGAAAATATATTTTTAACATAATTACCCAAATATTGTTGACCCTCTTGAGGTGGTGGAGAAAATAGAACAGGAGAAAGCAGGAGGGTGGGGAAAACAGCACATGTGTGAAAGAGTATTTGCATGACAGAATGCTACCACGCTCTCCCAAGTGCTTCTACTAAAGGGGCTTTTTTGGTCTATAGGAAAAGACTGCTTAAAACCAGCTATTTCTTGGGAATTTCGGCTGGAAAAGACAGACCCTGCAATTAATTCCTGAAGTACAGAAACCTGTATCTCCTACAAAGCAGTTTTGCAGCCTATATTCTACTAAAGAACCTCTCACAGCCCCAAGTCACCGCTTTCTGGCAAAGATTGGTTTGTGTTTTTTCAGCTGAGGGAGAAGCTCCCTCAGGTGAACCTCCTAGCTTTATTTCTTTCCAATGATAAAGCAGCACAAGAGCAGATACCTTTCTGTGGCTGAAAAAGTCGTGGTAATTTTTGACTAGACAAGAGAAGACCAAGTAAAGTACAGAAAAGGATGACACATCAGCCTCTCCGAACACACAGAGAACTGTTGCTTTGCTTTTCTTGATCACCGAGGACAAAAATAAACCTGCTTCATTCATAGCACAGTGAACATGTGTCAGAGAGTACTTTGCACATGAAAACTTCCAGCAAAGGAGGCTAAATAGCTGCCTTACTGGGAGCCAGAAACTGTCCGTTCCTTCTGCCCATCAGGGCAGAATAATGTTAGTTGTTTAACTCATTCTCCAAAGTAAATGGTGATTTGTCACACTGCTTTGCAGATGCTGGAGCCTATATTGCATGTTTTAATAAACACAAGCACAAGAGCAGATACCTTTCTGTGGCTGAAAAAGTCGTGGTAATTTTTGACTAGACAAGAGAAGACCAAGTAAAGTACAGAAAAGGATGACACATCAGCCTCTCCGAACACACAGAGAACTGTTGCTTTGCTTTTCTTGATCACCGAGGACAAAAATAAACCTGCTTCATTCATAGCACAGTGAACATGTGTCAGAGAGTACTTTGCACATGAAAACTTCCAGCAAAGGAGGCTAAATAGCTGCCTTACTGGGAGCCAGAAACTGTCCGTTCCTTCTGCCCATCAGGGCAGAATAATGTTAGTTGTTTAACTCATTCTCCAAAGTAAATGGTGATTTGTCACACTGCTTTGCAGATGCTGGAGCCTATATTGCATGTTTTAATAAACACAGGTTTTATACCAGGTTGGTTTTTTTTTTTTAGAGTCTTCTGATGCTCAGAAAATATAATCATAAAATACAAGTCAACAGCCAATTCAGGCAGTAGGAAATAATTGAGGTTCTCTTGCTGACCAACAAAATAAATGGTCTAGTTGCCTATACAGAAACACATTTTTGTGAATGTAAGTCAATTAGAAACTCTCATTTGTTCTACAGTTTCTTCAGAAAACTTTGGGTAATGCTCCAGTCAAAGATGCAGGCTGCTGTGTCTTTCCAGTTATACTGAAAACCTTTGTTTCATGATTTTGTTCTTTTCTTGATGGCAACTGAGTCCACTGGGGAAAAAGTGCCAACTGTTAAATGGCTAAACTGATAAAAAAACCCCAAAACCCAAACAAATCATGAAACAAGAGCACATTGCAGTCTAGTATCTCACCAGGTGCCACATATTATCTCTCAGTATTGAAGCATTGAGTGTACGCTGACAACGCTAAAGGCCATACCTCATTGATTTCAGCTCGAATGTTGGCCATTTTTTCCATCTCTGAGAATTTCACAAAGCACGGGTCATTTCTACAGGTTAAATCCAAAGTCTTCTGCGAAAGGAAAGCAGCAGGAATAAGATGTAAACAGCAGCAAGAAACACATCATCAGGCAAATCCTCCAGATTAGGCTTTAATAGTCTAAAGTGTTAATCTCTCACACTATGCAGTACAGTAAATTCTGTCTGAACAACTCATGAAATATATGCGTTATTTGGGGAAAATTAAAGTAAAATTTCAGGAAAGGCAGCACCAGAGCAGTGTCAACAACTGTGTCTCGGACACTGCTGGAACACCCCACGGGCCATCAGAAAGCCCTCACGTCTAAGCTCCAGAAAAACACCCAGGGTTCAGTCATTCCCTGAAAGCTGCCCTCAGCCAAAGCACTCAGAGACCCCGCAATAAAAGGAAAAACTTCCCCGTTTCAAATTAACGAGCAAACGAAGCTGCGGCTTCTGAAGGACGGGCCCCGAGGGGTGAGGAGAGCGGCGGCCGCAGAGCCTCAGCCCCGGCTGCCCCGACCCTTCACCCGCAGGTACCGCTTTGTTACGCTCCTGCCGTTCCCCGCCGCCGCCATCTTGCGCGGCCCCTCTCCCCGGCCCGCTCCCGGCCCCCGGGGCCGTTACCTGGCTCACGACGCCCGCCTTCACGCAGCTCTCCAGCAGAGCGGCCGCCGCCGAGGGCTGCCCCACCTCCCAGGGGCTGGGGAAGGCAGCCTCAGAGGAAGCCTCGCTCTCCGAGCCGCTCTCCCACCGCACCTCCGGGGACCCTCCACGCTTCTCTCCCGCCGCATCTCCCAGGACCGTCGCCTTAGTTCTAGCGTCCCGCCGCCGGGAAGGCCGGGTGCCGGCGGCGGCCATCATGGACGGGTAAGGGGGCGGGCGCCGGATTAGGCGCGACAGGAAAGGGATTCGACGCGCGTCCGGTTCCGGGGGAGCCGGTAAGGGCTCAGAGAGCGTCGAAGGGCGGAGGTGGAGCGCGGGGGGCTCCGCCGCCGCGGAGCCTGGGCGTGCAGCCCCTGTACAGGTGAGTTGGGCTGGGCCGGGCTTGGCTGCCCCCGCCGGGGCTCCCTGCGGGGCCGGGGCGAGGGCTAAGCGGCCCCGGTGGGACCGGGACGGGGGTGAGGTCGTGAGACCGGGGCCTGCAGCGGGTCGTTGCCGGCTTCATCCCTTGCCCGAGGATCCCGCTGAGCCGCTTCGAGCCGTCGGGGCAGGGAGCGCTGCTGCTTCTCCTGGGCTCCTCGTCCCGGCTATTTATGTGCTGTGTTAAGCTTTATTCCCCACCTGCCGGCCACAAACCTGACGCTAATCCTCCGGCCTGCTTCGTCCTGGGGATTAAGCCCAGCTGGAGTTAAGAGGAGGTGGATGTGGGGTGTCTGCATCCAGAGTCGCAGCAAAGGGGTCCGGCCTCTGAATGAAACAAATATTTCCCCGAAAAAGCAAATAGTAAGTGGGAGATGCCACTAAAATCACAGCCAGTCTCCATGGAGAATCGCCTTACAGTACTGGGCCCTGAAAGAGGCAAAATCTGGGAAGTATGCAATTTTTACCATCAGTTTTAACTCTACTCATTGCATTGATGATCTGAAAGGTCCTTTCCAATGGAGACGATTCTGTGATCGTGTCAATATTCAAACTACTACAACGAAGGCACTGCAAACTAGGTAAAATCTTCAGGTTCTAGGTGTATAGTTATGGGAGATGAAAACGCAGCAGTGAAAGGCTTGAGGATGTTGAAATGCTTGTGTGGAAGACGGGAGGCGTAAAATGACTTTCTGCATTTGCTTTATGACAGAGACTTAAGATTGCAGTTCTCTAGTGAAGAATAACTGAGAGAAACTGGCTGAAACTGTCACCCCAACTGCATATGCTTGACAGAGAACTGTTAGGATGGGAAATAGTGCATTAAAAGCCCACCTGGAGACAGCACAGAAAACTGGTGTGTTTCAGCTGACGGGAAAGGGACTCGCAGAGGTAATGTAACTGTAGAAGCGTGGCTTTATGTGTGCACAACTGACACTTTTGGAAAGAAATTCCCACTTCATTGTCATAATGCACTAATACATATATTTCTCATGAGTAATGATGGATAATATTATTTCAGGAATACTTTTTTTTCCCTTTCACAGAGCAGAATTTTGGTTGCACTGTCGTCTGATTGAGAACTTATCTGTCAGGGCACTTGTATAGTTATGAGCTTACGCTTTAGAGTGCATGTATTTTCAAGAAGCACTAGTTATGATGTTTTGCTTTTTAAAATGCTGTAAACTTGAGGGGAAAATGTAAATTTTATAACTGTATTGTTACTCAGATATTCCACAATTTGTCACATTTAGATACTTAACGCTGTATTTAATTGTAGTCGTATAAATAGTCTGTGCAGGCTGTTCACTGGGCTGCAAGCACCTTGAAGTTTATTAAGCTGGAAATTGTCTTGACTTCCACTTAACTGCAGAAAAACACAGAATGTCCTGGAACCATAAGTCAAGAAACAATTCACAGGATAGCCAAAATAACTATATTGCAATAATTTTCAAAGACTTTTCTAAAGTATCTTCTTCCACAGTCCTACCTTCTGCCTTCCCTTTTCCTCTGCCAGACTAAAGGAGGATGAAAACTACTGCCCTATCGGCCAGGGACTTGCTGATAGTAATTGTCAGGTTTTTCTTTTTTCAGCTCAGTGCCCAGTGTGTATTAAAGTGGTACAGGATGTAAATAAGAATAAGGAAAATAATTATTTAAAAGGAAAGCAAGAGAAAAATTTCCTAATCCTACTCTGCTAAAATACAGAGTTGTTAAGTAGCTGTAGAATATTTTTAAATGACAGGAATGTTTAAGACAAACACGTAAAAGGACTAAACCAGAAATGAGCTCGTGTCATGGTATTCTTCCTTCTCCCTTTTTAATTTAAATTCTTTGGCTTCAAAACTGCTCTTCCTAGTTGTTAGGCTGTCTCCTTTATATCCCTCTTCCCTTCCTCAGATGAAAAAATATTTTTAAAAAGATGTATTAAGCACATTTTCCAACTTAATTGCACACTGTTGATTGGATATTGTGATACATATGACAGTATGGAACAGTGATACAAATTTAAATTTTCAGCTGTGTAACTTGAACATTCAGAGTTGTATCAACTATTAAAATGCTGTATCTTTTTTCTCCCCCATAGTTTCCTGAAGATCTGCAGAAGCTATCAAGCAACTTAAGGACAATAGACTTGTCGAACAACAAAATAGAGCTCTTGCCACCACTCATTGGAAAATTTTCCTTTTTGAAGAGCCTTGCTCTGAACAACAACAAACTGAGTATGCCTGCTAATTAATATCTCCACAGATTTCTAAATTAATAACCTGACTTCTCTGAGCAGAAACTGAATGTAATGATTTAACTCTCACAGGATGTAAATGGGGAGTTTAGTCACCTAAACTGAAATCTTTGGAATTCATGTACAGGAAAAAAAACCCCAAACCCATAAGTTCTTCAAAACTAGTTGCCAACTTAGTTTTATTATCAGTTTTACAATGACATGTAAGTACTTAAAACTGTAATGTTTCTGTGCTGTGACTTGTCTGATCTGAAGGTTTAACAGGGTCAGGTGGTTTAGTACTTGCATAAAGAACAGGTAATACAGATGACATGTAGAAAATGTTGCTGGCCATTCAGTGGTTGGTACAGTTTCTGTTGGACAAACTTCCAGTGTTAAGGAAAAATTAGGATAAGGTGAAGAAACTAACTTGTTTATATGTTAATTGTGTATTATCTGCCTTTTTGAAAAAGAAATGTAATTTACAAACCTCTTTATAGCACAGCTCAAGAGTGCCACAGGTGATAGACTTGTGCAGGTAGAACGAGGGATGAATGAACGCCAGCAGAGCTTACCCGATGAGGTTTATGTGCTGGTATGATACAGTATGAATTATCTGGGAACTTACTTTTGAGTGAGTTGTGTAATACCTCTAAAGGGCTGCAGCAGACCCAAAGCTGTGAATTGTGTGGTATTTCAAACGTCACAGAAAACGGTGGCAAAGTAGTTAGTAAGGAGTATAACTGATAGGCTCAGATCCTCTCCAAGTAGTGTTTTCAGCCTGTGATTTGAAGGCCTGCCTTGTCTGCAGATCATTTTTCATTTGTGGAAGATGGTTAAAAAGCACGTGTTTTCAGTGGACTTAAGTTTCTGTGCAGGGATCTGTGCTGTTGTTGGAAAATGGGGAGGAATCCTGTGAGAAATTACTGTAATACAGCACCATTTTCCGTGCAGAAGCTTATTTGAATTGAATGGATATGAACGTTTACTGCTCTTTGTTTAGCTCATCTCTTTGTTCTGTCATTTATTTCCAGCTGCCTTACCTGAGGAGCTGTGCAAGCTGAAAAAACTGGAAACACTCCATTTGAATGGCAATCACTTGAGGCAGCTGCCGGCTGCCTTTGGACAACTTTCAGCTCTCAAAACCCTGAGCCTTTCTGGAAACCAGCTTCGGACTGTGCCCACACAACTCTGTGGTCTTCGCCACTTGGATGTGATAGATCTTTCCAAAAACCAGATCCAAAACGTGCCCGACACCGTGGGAGAATTGCAGGCCATCGAACTCAATCTGAATCAGAACCAGGTCTGGTAACTGAGATATTATGGGCATGTAGATTTAGGACTTGGAACATCCACAGAACATACACTGAGACCATCAAAACTTTATAGCTAAAATACTATTTGTGCTTCTGGACACCACAGATATCAGGGACCATAACTAGAATTTACGTACCGATACATCCAACTGCCTGGATGTTCAACAAATTTCAGGATTTGTTCAACAAAACATGAATTTAGTCGTAGAGGAAATTATTTGAACAGTTCTTGAGTAGGAATCTGATAAACAAAAGCGTAGTTTCCCTGTCAACATGGAAGGAAAAAAAAATTACTTGGGATTTTTGATCATTATTATTGTTGCTTGTGCATTGTTAAGTAGTTACTGTAGTTTATATTTACAACATGGTAATTGTTCCCTATTAGCCTGAAACAAATAGTGGATCACTAACATTTTAATCCTATTTCTCTTTGGGTTTTTTTTTTATTTCTGCCAGATTTCCCAGATCTCAGTGCAGATCTCCCACTGTCCACGCCTCAAAGTCTTGCGTTTAGAAGAAAACTGTCTAGAGCTCAGCATGCTTCCTCAGAGCATCCTCAGCGACTCCCAGATCTCACTGCTTGCAGTAGAAGGCAACCTCTTTGAAATCAAGAAGCTCAGAGAACTGGAAGGTTATGACAAGGTTTGTGTCTTTTTTTGTGTATTTTTTTAAAAAAGAAGCTTCTGGTGAAGTCCTTAGCCAGTCCCTCCTCAGAATACTAAGCTTTAATGCTGGTGAATTAAAGCACAGTCTATTCTTAACTGTTTAACGTTAGTTCATCCTTTATACTTGAGATTTGACTGTTCAGCACTGTGGGGGACTTTCTTTCTAGAACTGAAATTCAGTGAATTACAGAAAATGGCAGAAAAAAATTTGGGGTGTTTTTGTTTGAAATTAAAGCTCTAATGGTTATGTCTAGGAAATGAAAATATGCTTCAGATGCAGAGTGCTTTTGAGTCTGAGAACAGAAGCTTATCTGCTTTCAACAGTAATGAATCTCGTATTAAATTCTGAATCTTAGATTTTTTTTTTTGTTTTCTTTGTAGTACATGGAACGATTTACAGCTACAAAGAAGAAGTTTGCATGATCGTTATTCCGAACCTCTGTATTCCCAGTAAGAAGAGTTAGTGACTGAAGCACCTGCTTCACTGACTTAAGCCAAGACTGATGAAGGTAGATGATCAGAGTACTCCTCCTCTAGTAGCCTGAGATGGTCTGTTAAGGCCACATGGAATAAACAATCTAGAGACTGTGGGTATTGAATGGATGAATCTGCCTAGGGGCCAGTTTTGATTTTTTGTGCCACTATAGCAATTAACACAACACATGTTCTCCTCTGTCAGGGCTTGTTCTTTCACAGAGAAGGGGAATGAGCATTTCAAAGTTTCCAGTTCCCTTTTGTCAGGAAGGTGGCTGGTGATTTGTAAGAGGATTATTTCTTCTGGAAACGTTTTTCCATGATGGCATATGGAAGTTCTACCACCAAAGCAGAGCTGAAGCACCAAAGTTTCCAGTTCCCTTTTGTCAGGAAGGTGACTGGTGTTTTGTCAGGAAGGTGGCTGGTGAGTTGTAAGAGGATTATTTCTTCTGGAAACACTTTTCCATAATAGCACATGGAAGTTCTACCACCAAAGCAGATCTGAAGCACCGTATGTCTTGCTGTAATCACTGCTCTACAGGGAAGAACTTTTACAGATGAGGTTTTAGTTTATAACCTGTATAAGATTTTTTTATGAAGCACAAATAGTTGTGGTTAAGTGTTTTATTAACTGCTTCTGGTAAACAAATCATGGTTTAAGCATCCTTCATTCACATTTTACTGTGCAGGCTTTCTTTTCCCATAAGCAAGAATTGCACTACAGTCTACTTCTGCTTGAGCTGTATCAAATAAAAATGAGGTTCATCTTCTGTGTATTTTATAAAAATGTATATTGCTGGAAAACCTAATATCCTTGCACTGACTCCTTATGTACAGAGCAATGCTGAAAGGTTTAGTTCCCAGCCTGCTGCTGCCTTATTACCAAAAGCACCTAGAAGGAGCTATAAATGTATGCAATTATGTAACTTATACTGAAAAGGAAAATGTACTTGTTTATTTTAGTAAATAATTTAAAAAAAAAAATCAGTTCAAGTTTATTTGGTGTAACTGCTGCTGTTGTCACTTTTAGAAGTAATACTGAGCCATCCCTGAGAGCCATCACTTAGGTACTTGGTTCCATCAGTTGTTGGCAACAGCTGTGCTTCAACTGCCTTGAGAATACAGAGGATTTGAACACATCAACACTTCAGTAACAATTCAGTTAACATGTACTGCATGTTCAAAACAGCAAAGTAGGAGCTGTACCAAGTACATTTCTTCACAAAATAAGCATGGAGGCATCTAGTCCTAATGAGGCTGTCTTACCTTAACTACTGTTCTATACTTAAGCTTTCCTGTATGAGACAAGAAAGGCATTTGGGACAGCAAACTCCTTAAAGTTGCTGGTGCAATCAAATGTATTGAATGTCTTAGGCCATCTGCAGTTAAGAAAATTGAAGTGACCTCTGTGTCAATCTTCTTCCTCAAAATAACCACTGTAATTAATAGTAGCGATAAGTTCTTTTACAAGATGCTCAGAAGAGGTAGATAGTTCCCTGACTCTGTTGCTGTCTTAAAATAAGTATTACTTTGTAAGATTTGAATTAAGAGGTTTTTTAGGGAACATCAGCTCCTTATTCAAAGGATGGACATGATTCATCATTAAGAAGGGAACCAGTTTTACTTAAGAACCCCCACTGCACTTGGCAAGGTTGTGCTCTTGCGGTTTTGGGGGTTGTTATTTTTTTTTTTTTTTAACTGGAAATACCTGCTCAGACATGCGGCTTCTCTCATTTAACACTTGTTTATCAGGATTCTTTCATCTATTCAGCAAAGGTGTTTAAGACAACACAGTAGATCAGAATATTTAGAAGTGATGCCATTAACATAGCTATAAAAAAAATTACTGTTTTTGGAAGTCAGTCAACATTTCTCTTATGTGATCACTAGTACACTTAGAAACCTTCCAGTTACTCATTGTTAGGCTTCTCTGCTACCCTGGAGTTACAACAGGTACCAAAAATTCTGTAAAGTAAAAGGGAGAAACACCATGCAAGTACTGAATGATGCTGGGTTGGTGCTGCGTTAACCAGATTTGTTCCAGAACAGCAGAAAACTATTTCTGTTTTAAGAAAAAGAAGCTGGCAGATACCCTCACATGTTTTAGCTAACAGTACTAAGTAACTAAGTCCCTTAGTAGAACACTGTTCTGTACATTTCAGCCCTGCAGGTAATCTATTAGTACTTTTATATTGTGAATTTCTCATTTTTCCCTTACCACCCCTACTCCACAAGCAACAATATGAAAAAAATGTTATATCCATGAATAATTAACACTTGCAGGGTGTTACTTTTGGAATTAGAGGTAGAAAATGTTACCCTAGTTAACAATATAAACCATCCATCTACTTTGTCAGACGTATTTTACTTGCCTTCCAAATTCCCATTTATTCAATCAGCATTTAGATAGTGCTTTGCTGTTTCAAGTGCAGCAAAGGTGAATGAGCAGCTGCAAGTCACTGCACTGGGTAAACAGCACATTGTGTCATGGTACAGCCTTCAGAGAGGAACATTCTACACATTGCTGCAGAAGCAGCACATGCCACAGTCCATACTATAGCTACCCCTCTGTTTAAAAGGCTTCATTCATCTTTCATCAAGGAGTAGGCTAGCTTGAATTTACCAGTTATCCTACATATGCAGGCTGTCCCTATTTAGTTTTTTTTCATAGTTACTAGTAGAAATATACTATATGAGAAGTACTTCTTCCAAGCCATTCCCAGATACACTATCCTCTTGCAGCTCAAAACCGCTGCAAGTCAACACAAGTCTGTATTTCCCCTCTACCTCCTCTCTTTTAAGAACATTATGGGAATCCAAGGTTCAAACAGAGAAAATACAATTTAAATTGCCTCGCAAGTCAAATTGCATCGGCATTAGGTTGAATCACTAGATGTCACCTACTCAAGTAGTATCTGCTAAGCACCTGTTACCAGTATTTGGCTGGCAAGTTTAAGTTATGTATGTATGATAAAGTTCATTTATCATCCTGAAGTATAGCCCCATGTCAAATTGCAGACTTTCAAAGAAAAGATGGCCACATTTCATAGCTTGAAGTTAGGAGATGTTGATGATGCAGGGATGAAAACCAGTATTAAAAAAAATAAAATCACAATATTCCTTTCTTCCCAACCACACCCATTCCTTTGTTAGCATTAGGATTTCTGTGAAATAAAAATAGAAGGGAAACTTCCTAGCTGCACAGTAGCAACTCGTTCTGCCAAGTTTTTCAAGGACAGGAAACTAAATAAGAACATTTATAAGAGAAAATAGTTTTAAAACACATTCAGTTATAAAAGTATGTATTTTTGTGCACAATATATAGTTTTAACAATCAAAAGCAGAAACTGTAAACCATCATTCTTAATAGCATTCAGAAATACGAAGACATACAAGTGTTGATTCCATCCCATAGATACAGAAATTGAAGCATCTATTCTACAGACAACAGTAAGACAATCCAAGATGACGACCACGTTGTTCGCAAAAATAAAGGCACCAACTCCCTCACGGATTTGGCTCTTGCTGCATCAGAAAATAGTATTGATACTCTGCTAATAGTCAAGATGAGAGTCTCAGAAATTATTTCCTTGTGTGGTACTCACTGCAATACTTCCGTTCTGATATACCAATCACAGCATTTTCACAGCCAACATGCTGAGTTGTTGCTAGAGCTCAGGGAAGTGAAGAACATGGACATGTAATGGCAAGGGAGAGAACCATTCCAACGCTTGGAACTTCCAGATGCTACAGAGCAGGTTGCACTACTGTAAGCAGAAAAAGGTAACTACTTTAAATCTTCTGCTCCAGGAGACAATCATAGTTAAATAATGTATACTTTGCTCTCAAAACCAGCAGCAAATATCCCTTCAGTTAACCTAAAGTTTCTAAAAAGGGGGGAAAAAAAAAGTATATAAATACCCTATGATTTCTCATGGAAGCAGTTGTTAGAAGTTTGCTATGCAATGTTCTTAAAAGTACTTCTTTGCTACTTGTGTTTTCAATCGCAATTTAATTTACTAATGGGGTACATAATGAGCTTTTAAAATTCATTAGCTTTCCAACTATTACTGGAAGCCAGACAGAAGCCTACTGCAGTATCCAAGTCCCTTAAAAAGGACTTCACCGTATTCACATAAGACCACTGGCCTATTTATTACATGCAGCAACTCCATCCTTTGGTCAGGTGGTGTGGGGGTTTTTTTTGTGTTTTGTTTTCTTCTTTTGTTTGTGGTTTGTTGTGGGGTTTGTGGTTTTGTTTAGGTTTTTCTTCCTTTAAATGTCAAGTTTTCCTGGGACTGAACTGAGAATATACCAGTAATACTGATTGCATTTCTACTAAAAAGAAAACCAAACACTTAAGACTGTTTGTCTTGCATTTCAGCAAATTAGTGTCATCTCTAACTCTGGAATTCATTATTAATGGCTGCAGGATACTTGTGGACTGTCTTCCCAAAAACACACCCCATAATGCTACTAGTTTTAATTATTCCTCCAATCCATTTGGTTTGAAAATTTTTGTCATCCAACATTGAGCATCAGAGGTTAGTCCAAAGTATCATATTCACCTTTAAGGCATAATCTATTGCTGGGTGGAATTAAAGTTATATAGGTTACTTGCAATTTACTTGCTATAAAAAAATAATCAAGAAAATCCTGGGAATAAATCAAATTATATTACAGTAAAACCAAAATGTTTTTCTTCTTCATAGGAAGAGAGCTTTACCTCACCTGGTCAGAAACTCCTCTATTCTGCAACAGAACAGGAACATTTTAGTCGCAAGCAACCTAGACATGTAAAATTTCTAATTGCCAGTCCCAAAGTCTGCAATAATAAACCAGTCAGGAATCTATTTAGAACTAGTTTATTTAGCACTAGCACTGCTTACTCCAGACTTGTGACAAAGAAGTTTCATAATAAGCTTCTCTGTTTTCAGTAGGTTTAAGAAGCTCCCCCAAAGTCTGAGAGCAAACCCTGCACCAGATCTGAGCCATTAATTTGGACTGAAGAAAGGCATAAACTGGCCTCCAGTGAAAACTGGCCATAATAGAATCCTACATGGGATGCAAGAAAGCTGCATGCTTTTCTACTCAGTTCCTTCAGTTAAGATGCATAATTCAAACATTTAAAAGTTACCTTTTAGATGAGGGGCATAAAATTTTCCATCAAATAAATACTTTAGGGAGATAGCTTTATGTTCTTCTACTCATATGTGCATAGGGTTCAGATCAGGTATATTTACACACAACAAATACTACCAGAACAACACAGCATGATTTACTAGTCATGGCCTCCAAACCGATGTCAATTTACAGTAAAGAAACAGAAACCTTTATAATCTTCCAGTTATCTTATCCTTAAAGTTCCTGTGGCCAGGAAGTGTTTTAAAGCCCTCAACCCATTACTAGTAAGTAGTGGCCTCTTCAGTTCTGTAATGCACAAACTGAACCCCAAACCCATGGTGTGGTTTGGACTGTAAAACTATGGTTAGCCTGTGAGAGATACAAGTCAGACAATATTCACCAAGTCCCTACTTTAGTGAAGACACTCAACTTATGAGGTATTTCAAACAGTGCAAAGTGCCCTCTCCAACTTTCCACAACTGTGAGTTCAGGTTACCCTGCTTGTTCAACTTCAATAAAGGACTGTATTTTGTGTGCAGATAAAAAAAAAAAGAGACTGGGAGGGGGAATAAAACATGCAAGAAGATCCTCAAAGCCATAACACTTTTAGCCCTGAGCAATTTAAAGAAAGTGAAGGCAGATGAGTGGGAGGAAGTTATGTTGGCTGCTTTCTTAGAGTCAAGGCCACATTTACATGAAGCAATAAAAAAAATAAAAAAAGAAAATTAATCCCCTATAGAAAGGGTAATGCTTCATTTTTCCCAGCCCCTCAGATTTCAGAATAGGAGAGGTTTCACAGATCCATGAATACGGTGGCTTGCAGCTGGAGAGACAGTGTCATTGAACAATGACAGCAGGCTTTAATTGTCAATTAGTTTCTTGGCTCTGATGTTGGCTTGCTCAATGCGTTCCCTGTTTGTATCAGCCTGAAAGAGAGAAATTCATAGGTCATTTGCAGACTTCATTCAAAACAATTAAAAAAATTCCAACTGACATGAACTTCTGAATTGCAGGTTATCATCACTGTGGTAGACAAAAGGGGAGCAACTTCTAGAAACTAGGAGAATTCCCCGTCACACACACCCCCCAGCCAGTATATGCTATCAACTTTGGCAGATCCAGAATCAGAAGAAAGTTTTTAGTCTTTAGCTGACCTTCAAAACATACAGCAGCTTGCCTGAGCAAGTCAGGAGGAATATTAACGTCACAAGGGGATAAAAATTCCCTTTCTCCAAGTGTTTAAACATCTTAAGGACCTCTACAGAACAGCTTTGTTGCTATGGACTAGAAGACGTAGTCAAAAGTGACCTAAGGGCATAAAGTCAGAATTATTTTGCTTAGTGCAAGTCCCCAGTTTTCATCCACACACTCTCCAGTGTCCTAGTGTCACAGCAGTATGGCATCTGTAAGAAAAGCACTTTATAATTGCTTTACTATTGTAAAGCACTGAAAGTTAGCCACAGCATCTTGGCTGAACAAGTGTCAGAATACAGTTTTACAGACAGGTATGATAAGGAGCTTCGAAACAATTCCCTGATTATCCAGTCTGCACTGGGGAATGAGCAGGAGGGGTGACAAGCACAAAACTTGCCTCTGCCCTCACCATGAGGAGTGGAACTCCTGATGAGCTCCGTGCCAAGCACTAGCCATTTCATACCTTCATGCTGCAACAGGCTGGGAAGAGGATGTGGCCACTTCAAGCCCTTCCCTCCTGTTCTTCCCTCCCTGCCCTTTGGGTCAAGGGTTGGAGAGGGGCAGGAATTAACTACAGAAAAGTGAGAATCTAACCTGTTAACAACACTCCAACACACTGATCTAACCACTAGACCCTCTAAGAAAAAGCTAGTAACATAGGCTTTTATTTGAGGTTTATTCAGACTAGGAGTCTTGTATAATGCTGCAGGCTACCAAAAATCACCCAGTTAAGCCTATATATTTCCCAGATGAGTTAGAATTTTTTTTTAAATAAAAGCATGAACTCTATTCTCAAGTTAAGCTTAATATTGCTCTTTGTTTCTTTGTATGACACTGTCCTTTGGAGATTTACCCTCAACATTTTGATTTGGTTTCCACACTGTTCACTAGATTTAAAGGCAGTTATCAGCAGAAAAGGATGAATTTGGCATCCTGTCTCAGGATATTAAGTCTCAAAGCCAGGAATTGCACTTTAATTTTAAAGCCATTCTACACATTTATACGATTCATCTGTTTTAGGAAATTAATCTTTAAAGTAATACAATTTTAAAAAATTATAATAAAGATCTTACTAGTGATGACTAACTCCCTGTGCAGATGAGGGTACACCATGTCCCTGTGCACCTACAAAAACTATTATTCCAAAGTTGCACTAGCCCAAATATAAATCTGTCCACAAGAATTAGATGAGTGAATTACCTGTGGGTGGTTTCTTTTTTTTGTCTGGTTGTGGTTTTTTTTTTAAGTTCAATGATTATAGTGACTCTTTAGGAATTCCAGAAGAATCTTGCTACTGTTAAAAATACCTATTCCCAACCACATACAAGATTCCCTGCAATCAACAATCCCCAAGTTACACCTCCAGTAAATTTTGTCCTTTTGATCCAGACAAGTTTAATTGTTTTCAGAGTAAGCAGTGTCCTGTGCTATATTTTTAGGTTTCCTGACACTTGGAATTTTCCACTACATACCCAAACACCAAGATACATCTCTTGTTCAAACCACTGCAACCTAGAGGATGGTGCAATCTTAATGCATATTTACTGCAAATACAGGCAAATAGGACAGTGAGCCCAATGCCTCAACTTCTCAGTAACAACCTCTAAGCTGAAGGCAGAGAACACCTTTGACACTTACCTTTACATTTATCCGATCTATTTGTTTATTCTGGGCATCAATCTCATTGCCCATATCCAAAGCCATGTTTTTCAAATTCCCAAGAATGTTTCCCACTTGAGCAAGATTTTCATCCATTTCATCTTCTCTGGCATCATTTGTTATCCTGTTCAAATGATTAGGACAATGTTTCCAAGAATCAAAAACTTGCTTTTCCCTACTCTGAATTAACTTTAATAGAAATTGTTTCTTGCACAGTTATCTGACACAATGTATTCAAGCCATTTTTTCTCCTTTTAAAAAAAATCTCAGGTATTTCCATGCAAGTGGCCCACCAAAAAAAAGGTACTAAGTTAACTGCTATTACAAAAATAGCCTTGGAATTTAAACTTCCTCTGGTAGCCATTATTTTAAGACACAAGCTGATCTCAAATATACTTTATGACAATAAAAGTCCTTGATATTTTTAACAGTCACCTCAGTAACTGAGCACTAAGCTTTATAGTCCTCTCATCCAGATACCACCACTAAGAATAGAAAAAATGAAAGTACAAGCTGAGCACTACAATACTTGAAGTGCAGGTGTCTGCCACCTGCTTTCCAAGCAGTAACAATTCCTCCAAGCAGCAGTAAAACACCATTTAGCAGCTTCACCTAAAATGCATCCAAAAGAAGCTGACAACTGGTAACTTAGGATTTCTGCATTTGAGATTGAGAAATATGAAGAAGCAAACCTTGTAATATATCCACCACTTGGTCCCCCAGAAGTCTGAGGCTGCTGCCGATTTAGACTTCTTGGTTGCATGGATATGACATGATCTGCTGAGTTCTCCGTTCCATCTCCCCAGGTTGCTCTGTAGGCCTTGCTGGCCTCAAAGTTCTTTGTCCTACTCCGTAAAAATAAGAAATCTGAGCTGCTACATCAGAAATATGGGTTCCTGACTGAGGTTCTGTATTAATCTAAGATTTTCAGAAACATTTGTTGTGTGCCTGAAAAGAGATTAGATTTTCTACAGACAAAGCTTTGTCTATAGACTAGAATTTCTTCTATCAGGATAGTACAATCGTAACTGAATTACTCCAGGGACAGTGATTAATTTGGTCTTAAGCTTTAACACAAGCACAGTAGTTTCCTTAAAGTAATATACTTTACCAGAAGAGGAGAAGCTTATGACAGTAACAGGAAACTCCCACTGTCGTAAGATAAAGTTGTATTTACAACAGGAGTTAGTCTAGAGGCAGAATTAGTTACTTTTGAGGAAAGAAATAGGTATGAAGGAAAAAACTCCCTCAGATACAAAAAGCTACACCACACAAAAAACCTATTCATCTTTACTGGTTTATTTCTCAAAAATTTTCTGTTGCCATGTCTTTCTTTTTAAAGCTAATGTTTCTCAGGTTAATTTTGATTATGAAGTAACAATAATCATGTTTAAATAGCTCCTTCATTCTGCAATTCAATTGTATTAGTGCCATTAAAGCGACAAATCAACTTACCATTGCACTTTTACCACATAATTCAGAAGAGAAAAAAAAATTAAAGAAAGCACACTGACATGAAGCAATTTCAAGAATCACAGACCCATAAAAGCAGGAGGGGAAGAAAATAAAACAGAAAAATAACTCCTGTCAGTTCTCACAAACCCTAAAGAATGTATTTCAAGACGACTATTCTCATGTTCACCTTACTTGCTGGCACTTTCACATTTAAACTAGATAACCCAGACTCCACTGCCACTTTTCTGCTTCTTTAAAAGCCTCTAAAGGGAAATCTGTAGTGTCTTCCAGTACATCTAACTTTACAATTACAGATAATAAATTTCTGTATCTACAGTGCTTTTCAGTAGCACAAATGTTTCACATTTGAAAAGGTGTGAAATTAGCTGTAATGAAGAAACACTCTCCTTATTCTCCTGGCATTTTTGTAATCAAAATGGAAATTACTTTTAACAGGATCTGACCTGTGAAATACAATCCAGTATGAAAACAAAAAGGGGAAGAAATTGAATAATTTGTCTGTTCTCAGCCAGTAGAACCCCCAGTAAATCTAAACCACTCAATTCTAGTTCCTTGTGGATACACAGACTTGGAGACCTCTTTAGGTTTACAACAACTAGATCAAGCATTATTTTTAATCTCATTCATACCAAAGCCACAACAGCAGGAGCTCTTATGTGCTTCTGGATTAGCAAAATCTTAGGTGCCAGAGGTAACTGTGAGGAATTTATTGAACACAAAATAAGTGGCCTGAAGCGTACTTGGGTATCAGAAGTAGACAGCTAGAAACAGAATTGTTGCTCAAACTAAGTGCAGTTAAGAACAAAGCTTCTCACCACCTGATTTTTCAACAGCTCTTTTTCATATTCATGTTTTTCAAATATGTTCCCTTCTCATGTTTCATTTCTGTAAGAGTAAGGCAATTTATACAGCCTGTAAGACCAGCAAGGGTGCAAGCAGTTTCTGATTTCCACAGCTAACACACTCCATAGTAATTGACATTTTCCATTCACATCAGTATTACAACACATCACAGTCACAAGGAGACCTGCATGCAGACATCATGCATGTGCCAGCACAAATCCAACAGAAGCATCACTTCAGACAACATGTTAAATGTACATCAGCACTAGTAAGACTGACCTTGTCCTAAAATCCGCTTTCAGCAGTTAAGTGAATACAGCTTCTTATCCTAGTCTTCATTTTTAGAAAGCAAGAGTCAGTGTTAGGAGAGAATGGAGAAGAAAGAATAGTAAAGACCAGCAAGCAGGTAAATTATCATTAGTACACAGATTATATTAGAAGCCCTGCCGGTATTTTGTGTTTTCACAAAGTTTTTAATAAATACTCTAAACCTAGGAGAAACAAGGAAAGCAATATTTATGTCAGCAAGTGTTCTGATTTAGCTTCATGGAAAAAATGAAGAGTTTCAGAGATAACTGGGTGACAAATAACTGTCAGAAAAATTGATGTACCAGTAGGTATATGAAAGGCATTCACAGTTTCTTCTTCTTCACTGCCCTCTACTTATTTAGTAGATTTTTCTGCACATTACAGCCCATTTTTGCATACAACTATTTCTTTTATTGTTATCTGTGTATCTGGAGGGCCATAAGGGTTCACAAATTCTGAGCCTGCTTAGTGTCAATAAGCTGCTCAGCTTCAGTGAAATAAGACTGTCAACTACAGAAAAAGACTGAGTGTCAAAATGCTCAAAGTCCATCAGCTTGATCAAAGTAACAAAACAGTAAGCACACCTATCCAGAGGTCAGGACAGAAATATCTGCCTTTTCAAGACACTAAAGGTCTAAGACTTTCAACCTTAGAAGCCACATGTATATCTATCCTAAATGATCCTCAAAGTATTAATTGGTTCAATTAGCAGACTCAGCTACACCAAGGAATTTTTACCTAAATTTCTGCTCTGAGTTGAAGGTGTTTTTTTTTTCTCATGCTAAAGTGCTAAAAATGAACAAACACACAACACTATTCACTTCAGTGGTCTCTCTCTTAAAATAAGTTCTTTTTCCTTCACTTGGAAGAACCATGATCACATCCAATTCACCCGAATCAATTTGATACTTTGCTGCTTAAAGATAAAACTAGCACACCTCTAAAAAATAAATATTATTTTCCTTATAATACTGATTTCTGGTCATTGTTTAGACGTTTAGAAGTACAAACCAAGAGCCATACAGAAGATTACATTACTCTTAAGTGACTTGGGTATGGCACCTGTAACACTGGTGTTATAAAGGTACATGAAGCAGGTCTGCAAGAATTTATGTAGTCACTAGTGAAAGACTAAAGCTTTAACACCAATGTCTGTTTTCCTACTCTCTTCGTCCCTAAAGCATGAACGTTTAAGTGCCTAGAGAACCAGTATTACCTTCCTTCTCCAAAACAGAAGTTTTCTTGTTTTTAGTTTAATACAAAAAGTACTTTTGTAAAAAAGTGATTTTTGCAGTAGAGTTTCTAACAGACAGGCACTTACATATAGCTATTTGCACTCCAATTTGGTCTCATCTGTATGGAGTTTGATAGTATTCTACTAAATATAAGCTTTAAGAAGATTAGGGCACAATTGTGCAGGATGTTATACAGCAGCTATGTTTACAGAGAAACGGGCACAATCTATGGTTAGATGCAATTAAGCTTTAGCTACTCTCATACAATTTTAAAAGGGTGCAGCTCTACAAACCAAAACAGTCAACTTTCCTAGAAATTCAGCATTTTTAGATCTCTTTTAGAGATCAACTTCCAGTATAATCTAGAACTTCAGACCCAAGTACCAATTTAACTGACCTGTTACAAGGACAGACACAGAGCCCACAACATTTGTTGAGCTCTGTCAGCGTCTTCTCAGCTTCTCTCATATCCTTATTTATCTGGTCCATGCCTTCTTCTATGCGATTCAGTTGCTCTAGAAGAGAAACAAGTAACTGAATAAACAGATTGGGCGAAGGTGGGGACGGGATATTAACAATTCTTTCAAGCATGAACATACAAGTTTCAGTTCCATCTTTATACCAAGACTAATGCCTGCTTTCTTTCCCACCTTCTGGGAATTTTTTTTATTTTTAGGAAAATTAGTCAGTGATATACAATGATTCAGATTTGTTTACTACATTAAAAATATTTTCCCTATCTTTACAGCAGCAATTCTGTTGCTGCTTTTAGAATAAATGCAGACAGTTACATTCATGCTATGGTGGAAAGGAACAGCTTATGTATCATAAAAGCTGTATTATATTTTAACTAACATGGTCTCTCAGCTACTTTAAAATCTCTTTTAAATACTGCAAACACATGGGAATAGCCAATTAGCAAATCTCATTTTCATATAAGTAGTCTTTAATAAGCCTTCAGTTTCAGCATCAATTCTTGCATGATAATCCTTTTTCTTAGTCATATAATTGATTTTTTCCATTAGAGAGGAAGAAGGAAGAACTCACCTCCCTGTTCATCCAGCATGGTGATAGTTTTGATGCCAACATCCTGGGACTACAGAAATAAATTTATTTGCAGATACAAAACCAGATTTCAATACATCAATGCAAAATCAGAAGGTTTCTATAGAAGATTTGATAAGCCAACCAAGTTCATATTAAAACACTGTGCTAGGAATAACTTCCTTAGTAAAGCTATGCTAAATTTCAAATTAGATCCTATGTCAGGCTGATAGCTCACCTGTTAACCTATCTCAATTAGTGGGGGTTTTGGTCAGGGTTTTGTTTTCTTTTTGCATTACAACAAGATGATCAAATTTATTGTAATATTCATTACACTATGAAAGTGTCAAGCTAAAAAAGTAGATGTAGCTGTGCCTTGTTTTGAAAAGTTCCATTTACTACGGTGTAATTAGAACTACTTTTGTTCAGAATCAAAAGCAGTCCTACCTTCTACTACCCCACCCAACTGAGTCCTACCCTCCTCCTCAAAGACATTTTCACACTGCTCCCAGGCAAAATGAGCTAAATGACAAATGGAAAATATTACAAGAAGCAAGTGATGCAGCAGCCAAAGCCATAACTGACCGGCACAGAAGACTTTTTATAACTGATGTGTAACATTTGGATATTAGGCCATTTTGCTTAAGAGGAAAAAAGGTAGAAAGGCATCAATATTGATCCTCTGTGATCTGACTTTACATAATGTGAAAAACAGTAGGTTTAAGTCATTACAACTCTACTACTGAATTAAACTAGCAACTTCAAATATTGAGAAAGACAAAAAAGTGATTAAGATCACTTTGTGATAGTTAACATGCTGCTGCTTATACTTAAATTAATAAATCCCCGGGGAATTCAAAAGCTTTTCCTTACCTCGATGGCCAAGCCAAGTATCCTCCTTGTGCTTTCCAAAGACTAGAACGAGAATTTTAAAATGAGTGTGTTAACAATATAGATCAGTGTCTGAAAGTCATCTTTACCAGCTCATTGCAGTAAGGCAACTAGTATACAAAGGTCCATCAGCCTGTCTATATGTGATACCTGCTACAATTCAGTCATAGCAGCAGCAGAGCTTTTTTTCAGTAGCTAGTAAATCTTTGGGTTTTAGTACTTACTTATCACATTGGAAAGTCATCATAAAGGAAAATATATTCATTGAATTCTAGTCAAATAAAAGAAGTCAACACAAGAATAGTGTAGGTAGCCAGACTGCATTGTCTCAGTAATCAGGACTGGGTGATCAGTACACGGTCACATAGGTGGCTTTACTGTTCAGAAGTTTAAACTCATTCTTAATTTTAGGAGTAGTCTTCAGTCCAGTATTTACCAAGTAAAGTGAGAGCATGAGGCTATACCTTTGCAGAATCACCACCCCAGACTGTCTTTATTTTTAGAAAATACTGTAATCTTGGCAGGTAAGTACTGTAATCCCAGATGCCTTCCTATAATATTTACCTCATCAGTGACCTGGTTGGCCCTCAGCTGAATTTCTTCGGGTGATAGTTCAGCCATGATGAGGAACTATTTCTTGTAAGTAATCAAGTTAAAGACAATCTTCCCCCTGTAACAAGAGATACCAGGTAAGCATCAGAACCTAGAAGACATATTGAAAGCCTGTATATATACTGCTTAGTACAACACCTGGTTAGGACTAGAACGCACTAGAAGAATTATTCAGCTGATACGACATAACTGAGGACCTAAGAGAAATGCAGGAACGATCAGTATGTGAAATAGTTTCCTTTCCAAGAGTTGGCTTCCTAAACATTTTTGGAAAATACTATCTATTGTTAGGTAAGGTAAAAAAAATCAGGAAATGAAGTCTTAAAATAAAAAGCTTCTCCGTGTTTAAAAAGCACATTGCTTTATCCAGTAATCCAGAAAGAAATTCATTAAGGCATTTAAGTTACTAGAGTAAGCTTTAAGTGTTCTTCCCCTTCCCTTTGAGGGATTTCAACAGACAGAAGGGGAAACACTTTCGCAGACCAACCAACGCCCAAAACGATTCCAGTAACACCCTAAAAATAGTTGTTCTTATGTATGGTGAATCCCTCAAATGCAAAAGGATCTGCAAAAGTTTCAGATCTTATGCCTGCAACTCTAGCAAAGGTTTTCAAATCTACCTCATAATAAGGATAGGCTCAAGATTTTCATAAATGAAGTCCCAACACACCAGATTTAACTTTTGCTATAAACAGGAGATATTTTTGCACAAAGACACAAGAGAAAAAAGTAAACGCACCAATATGCACACTCTCATCAGAGCTGGCCTTTCTACTAAGAATCACACATTTTGTTAGAGGGATGGTAATAAAGCTGGCACTCCTAGCAATGGGAAAACAGGGCTCCCAGGCTGTAAGGAAACTTAATGAGACAGCACATAACCTGAGCAATAAGAGGATATTTTAAAATGAATTTCCCCCTTAACTTTAAATTAATCTTTGCTCTTTCACATGAGTAGCTTCCACTTAAGTTTACGTTATCCAGTGAGATCACTCCAACATCTTGCTTAACAGAACTACATTCCATTCTTCCCCTACAAGATCAGTATTTTAGAAGACATAACAGTAGTAACTGCTCCTAGAAGGGCAAATCAATGCAGATTCACTCAGCTGTTAGCTAGAGAACGGATGCTGTCCATAGCTCCTTGCAGGAATCATGTGTACCTGAGGGCAAATTGAAATCAAGACACTTTTACACCTGAAGTACTTCAGAATTCAGAGAATACTTCAGCAAGTCTGGTCTTATTACCTAACATATATAACATATATAACATCCATATGAGGACCTAGAGGAGGTTTTTCTAAGTACCTGTCAACACCAGCTTGTCTAATTTTTTAAAATGATGGCAAAAGCTCTCACACAAGGCCTCCAGTAGCTCAGTTTGCAGTACTCTAATTTCATTATGTAATCAGTGACTTATTTTCATTAACTGGTTTAAGCTCCTTTCACAAAGTCTATTTAGGGCAGCTCAGTCTGAACTTTGAACTTGGGAATGCCCTTCAAGCTGTTTTGCAAAGCTAGGGACAAGTAAAGCAAGGACAGGGAAGAAAGGACCCATTTTCACTGAATTAGATTAAGCACAGGAAAATCATATCTAACTAGTTCTTTGGGTAAAGACCTCACACTTACTTAATATTCAGAAACACGACGACATTTCAATTTTATAGTTGCTCTGAAAAGAAAGCAATATCTGGTTTACTGTATTTGTTGCAGGTTTGGCCAGCCTTTCTCTACTTTGGGTGTCACAGCGTCAGGTACTTCTGCAGCTTGAAGCCATAATACATGTCTCATCTTGGACAGCAAAAGGGCTATCATATCCCCACCCTACGAATACAGCAGCTTCCCAAGAATCCAACAGCAATTGCATAACGGGGCCGGAAACGCAGCTGTATTCCCAGAGCGAGCCGGAGATGTCTTTTTCAGCAGCCCTGGTGTCCTGCTTCCTTTTGCAGCCGCGGGTTCGGCCTCCCCAGGAGGTCACACACCAGCACAAGCACAACTGCTGGCCCAGTGACATAACCCTGGCCCAGAAGCTGTCTCTGAGTGACCCCAGGGCTATACTGAAGCCAGCGCTGCACACTACAATACCGGCTTCTTTGCTTTTGAGGCAAGGGCAATTCTCTGGCATGCATAAGGATTCGTTTCTAAAATAAGTCTTAAATGGGTAATAACACTTACCTTCGAACAGATGTTTGCAAATACATTATACTACTACTTTCACATCGAGAAAGGACCCAAAATCTGAAGAAGGTACATATACTTTATCAGGCCAGTTACTGAGTTTTGTTTCATTGAATATACTGCCAGAATGAATTTCATTGAACAGACTATTCATGGAGAAACCATTGAAAAACAAACCAGCAGCAAGACTGAAAAAGGAGAAGGAAGGAGACAACAGCCACCTCCCAAGCTAGTAATTCATGGTGGTACAGTTTGGAAGGTAACATATCACTGGAAGCTGACAGTCATGAATTTGACAGTCGTGAATTAAGTTCAGGACTGAAGCTCACGTACTCTATACTAAATTCACCCTGGCTAACAACTGCGATATTAATAAAGTCCTATGAAAGGTAATGCCATGTTGAAATCTGATAGTACTTACATGAAGAGACATAGCAATTACATGAAGTAACTCCTTCATGTACTGTCAGCTATCAGACTATTCCCCTCTCCACCTTTGTCCTGTCTATGTTAGCTCATGAAGGAACTAGCAATCCATTATTTGACATAAGTTAGTAATAACACACTAAACCAGGAAGTGTCTGAAGTTGCATTTGACACCAGGCAATGGCTTGAGAACACAAGCACTTGCCACTGAACCTACCAGTTCTGAGCTGCGAGAGCAGCTTTGCTTTCCCTTGGCTTCCTCACAGCCTCCTGAACAAGTCCATTGCCAGACAGCAAGTTCTATGGGAACTCACAGCATTCCTCCCACTTACCCCCTAAATTGATGCTATTGGGTCTTGAAACTGTTTATGAATCTACCTAACACTGAAGAAATTCAGCTGCAAGATAGGAAGGAAAAAAAACCCTCCTACGCAGCAGATATCCATAATACAGAGCAAAACACTTACTTCCACAATTCCTCAAAGCTGAGGTCTGCACATGCTTATCTTGTGATGTTCATATTTGGACACTTGTAGTGTTCTGCCTCTTGCGAGATGAAAACATAATCTGAAGCAATAGTTCAGATGTTCAATTTACAACTGCTAGGATAACTGACCTATGTGGAAGGATGCTAAATAAAACCACTCGGAACACTTGGTTAAGAGACAAATGTTCTGACAATCTTTTATCACTGATAACAGGGTACAGCTACTTGATGGCCTTTTCTGATCATTTCTTGATGTCTTATGTCACCTCAAACAGTGACAGAACAGTTTTTTTCCTCTAGACTTCCCAGCAAGCTTACCTGCCTTCACTTTTCAGCCATTGCCATTAGAGCTATGTAAAACAATACAGCATCTCCTTTTTAAGGCAGGCTTAAGAAAGCATGCTCTTTGAACTGGTTTGATTACAGTATCTGTTTAAAGCTGAAAATGCATTAAACTCCACAAAGCCATAGCTTTACTCCCGTTAGTCTGTCCAACTCAGTTGGCCAGCACTGCTTTCGTAAACACACACACAACCTGCCCAGCCACTCTGCAGGGGAAGAAAAGAGACATTCCCTAGGCAGGAACAAGAAGACATCTCACCATACAGCATTTTGTAACATCCAAAAATGCACACAGGAGCAATTGAGAAGAAACTAAACATTTCCAGAAAAAGCCTGTTTCCAACAATACACGCTTGATAGCTGCATGTCTAACTGGAATAGCTGGAACATAGCTCATCCCTGTATTGCAAGGTATCTCTAAAGAAGTTAGAATACCCAAGAGGAGGCCATTTGTATTGAAATAACTTGGCTATTCCAACAGAACACAGCATACATACATAAAGAAGAAATACTCATTCCTCTGTCTTTCTGCCTAGGAACCAGAAAACACCTGCTGAGGTATCTGGCTCTTAAATTAATGGTATATGACAAAATTACTTTATATCCAAGACATTAAGATTCCTCAATAAAGACAAAATATTCAGTGAGAAGATACCTGACATGGCTAAAGTGTTCCTGGCATGTATTTTTATTATCATGTAAGACCTGCTAAGGCAAGCATTTATTTTAATATCAATGTTCAATGTCCATTTCCTTTGCTTTCCCTCTCCTACCACTTAAAAAGCCCTAGCCACAAAATAACCAAAATAAAAAAAGAAAAATAAGTCTACAAAGAGACTTCTTAATAATATTACAGCAATTTCAGTTTATTTTCTCTCTACAGTGGTAAGTTTTAAACAAGAAACTAATGTGCCTGAATACAAATTAGAATTCCTTTAAAGAAGGATGTAATGTCAGCTGTATTTACTTTTTGTTATCAGAAAGTATTCTGCAGTATTTACCGGGTCACCAGACTGCACGGATTAAACACATTTAGTGCAACTCCCCCTCTACCCCTTGAGAAACTGGAATTTTTAACCCTTCTACCCAAGAAAACCTGGCACCTACAAACTATGCAGGATTAAGCTCGCTACAAAAATACATTTTCTTGAAGCAATGGGCCTCATGAAACTTTTCTACCAGGAAACTTAGAAGGCTACAAGATATTCTTAATCTTAACTATCACTCTCTCATAAAAAGGAAGATTCATCAGGAAAAAAGAGCAGCAAGGAAATAAATCGAGGGCCTGCAAATCATAAGAACTGGTCTTTTCTGCCATGTTGTACTGTGGAGATTGTGAGCACAGAAAAAGTTCTTTGGAATTCCAATTCTGACCACAAGCTTTAGGTAAGATTTTTCTCTTCACAAGACTACTCATATTGTGCTAAGCCATCCAATAAGATCACTATTATAACGCATATTAAAATTAGGATATTACTCTCCAAGCCAGTTGAGGACGGATTAGACTTAAGTTACTTCTACCCCTTAGACAAGAGGAAAAATGAGATAAGGAAAATAAACTTAGGTCTGCACAGGCTTTTCCCCCCTACTTACTATGCATTTAGTCATGGCTCCAAAAAACCCTGAAAAATCTTCAGTTCTCTCTCCTACATGAAATCATTAGGTTGGAGATGGCTGAAGGAAAGACACAGCGAAGGTGATCTTGCAGAACCGTTTAAAAACTCAAGGTGTGTCCAAGGGACATGACAGGTGCTTTTGGGCTGATGGTGCCAGATCCTTTCAAAGCATCGTTGCCTTAGAGATCTTAATTTGCTGTCACAAATATAGCAGCTGAAGCATTTCAGTAAATTCTTTGTTTTGAAAAAAACTGAAGGTGACAGATTGATACAAGCTATGGCTATGCCTGCATTAGCAGTAGGATGATCCTGGGATAGCACAGTGCAAGTCTTTGTTTGGGCAAAGTACTGCTCACGTTACTACAGTTCAGTATTTAACCAGAGTTCTGCCCCAACCCCAATTACTGAATTGAGAGCTAATGCTTGCCAAGCCATATCTTTCATAAGACCAAGTGCAATAGAAGCAGTGGCCTACTGTCTGCATGTAAGTCTCCAAGTTTAGCTTCCTGATCACAAGCAGGTAATTTAAGACAGCATCATTTCATCCAACAGCAGCTCTCTGGCTGGGATTCCCTGACAACAGGCACATTAAAGACTTCAGGGGAAAAAAAAAAAAAAGCATTTGAATGGACAGAGGCTCAAGATCAAAGCACTGTTTTATGCAGCCAGCTACAGCATAGTCATCTTTGGCACCCATCTACCCAGAGCACACAGTAAAAAATTACCATGAACTCTTTCTCTGTTGTATCCGTCATTGGTCTAAGATACTCCTCTGCACAACCACATTTTCTTCCTTACAAGTGTTTGTTTTTTTTCATTCAGAATTACTTGTAAACTGGATGCCAGCTATTTATGCCAACACTCAGTTTCTTATGTAAACAAGTTTCAAAAGCCATTAAAAAAAGTGAGGTTTATAGTCTTTTCAAGGGTTTCTCAATCCCAGTTCTCTTCAGAGGCATATAAGACACTTTCAGGTAATACAGCTAGAGTAGACAATTTACATGCTGTTTGAATATGCTTTTCAGCACTAGCTGAGAAGCAATTCTAAGGCTTATTAGCTCTAGGAGAAAAGAAAATTTACTCTCTTCTTTTACAACAGCTATGGCATATTCAGGCTGTGCTATCCAAAGCACTCAAAACCCATAGGAATTTTTTGTCTTAACGATCTTTGTGAATTTGAACCAATTACATGGTACCACAAGGCCTAATAAAGTGCTTGCTCAACTGCAGCTACACAGTCTGTACGTGGAAAGGACTGTAGGCAGAAGAGGCTGTCAAAAGTGACAATTTTTCTTCAACCAGACAGGTCTACTCACAGACCAATAAGCTGTTCTGATCATAAAGTGCTTGCTCAACTGCAGCTACACAGTCTGTACGTGGAAAGGACTGTAGGCAGAAGAGGCTGTCAAAAGTGACAATTTTTCTTCAACCAGACAGGTCTACTCACACCAGACCAATAAACTGTTCTGATCGTCTGCACTTTCACCACCCAACTTGAACAGCCATAAGGTTTTGTCCGGCACCTCTGGCTGACATGCAGCCATTCTGTGCATCTGACTGACTGAATGCCCTTCAGAAATCTGTCATACGTCCATCACATTCACTAAATATCATAGATTAATTCCCCACCATTTGGGGGTCCTCTATTTGAACCTAGCCCCTTCTCTGTCAAGTGTCGCATATAACCAATATCACATAGTTTTCTTCCTCTTCCACTGATAACTCTAAACTAGAAGTTAAGTACAAATGTTTCCTTTTTTTTCTGTTAACGATATTTTGGTAACATCAATAACACACAGCAGGCTGTACCTTGGTGCCTGGTTCCATAAATGGAGAATAAGTAAGAGGCTCACAGTTTTCTTGTGAGTAACAAGTAAAGTGAGAGAAGAAGAAATCGGCATAATACTTTTGGCCATGGAAGACAAGAGCTGTGAGAGCTGGAAGTTAGTATAAGATTATCTCTTTAATGCCAAAACCGTAAGGTTTATTAAGTCTGCCTTCTAGAATAATTTCTTTCTTTCTCTCAAAAGAGCTATTTGCATGAAAACCACATAACTTCTACAAAGTGTTGTAGCAGAACTCTAATGCTTACATCTTCATGTTGTTTTCCTCTTCAAAAATCTAGTAAAAGTTTTTGGCCGCCAGGACTAAACGCAGCAGAGCTGAATGGAAAACTTTCATACATGTATGTCCAAGTTACTATTCTTTATAAAGTCATGATATAAAAGAATTCTACCCTTTCTATTTGCAAATAACTACATTTGACTACCTCTTCATTTCAGATAAAAAACAGAAAGAGAAATAATTGTACTTTATCCTTTTAACATAAACTACTAGTAAGAATACTAAAGTATTAAACCTTAAAATACTACAATTCCCAGTTCGCTAGTTCTTTCCTTGGATGTTTCCTATACATACCAGGGGGAAAAAAAACCCCAAACTTTAAATAACAGCTACTAACCAATACATGTAAAAGTATCATTGAGCAATGCAGCCTATGTCTTCTTCTGGGTAATTTTACCACAAAGGTAGGAACTAGGAGATGACACAACCCTGCTGTTGCAGCAACTGACTGAAAGCCAGTATCTCACGAGCTATACTTTTAGCCATCAGCAAATTGGTACAGCCTCAGGTGATCATGGATGCTCTCCCAGTTCCTTCTTTTGTGAAGCAAGCTGTTGCCTTCTCCAAAGATAGAAAAATTCATGAAACAATATTCTTACAAAAATGTGAATGTTATTTATGAAATTTCTGTGCATTCTTGCAAAGATTAAAAATTAGAGAGTTTACAAATTAGATGGCTTTGGACCAAGGGCTGGGTGGTTTTTTTTTGTTCTTTCAAGTTCTTCTTATCACTAATGTAGAAGTAGTTGTGTTTTTTTTTAAAACCCTTCCTTAACACAAACAGTTATTCTACTTGCTAGCTGAAATTCAGCCCAGCTAGTGGAGGGTGGTACACGCTATCAGCACCAGAATGTACTTCTCCATACGATTAGGCCTACAAGATAAATGAATAAAGCATCTGTGACCCTGGGGAATGAGGCAAGGACCCAAGAACAAGACACTACTCTGCATGCTTCCTGCGTTCTCTTATCAGCTTCCTGAACACACTGCACAGAGGCGATAGCGCAAAGAATAGGCGCTAGCAATGCCACCTCCTCTGTGCAGGGCGTTCAGTTCCATACTCATCTCAACAATTCATTTTTGTCCCTGGAAAAGCCCCGTGATATCTCTTCTAAATCAGTTACTGGCCAACACAAATGAGCAATCAACCCTAGACCCACATACAGACCACAACAGATCTCATTTCTTCTAATGAAACACACTGTGCTATTTAAAAAGTTACTTCAAAAACTGCAGAGCGGAGGAGGTCAGGCACATAATTGGTTACTAGACTGTCAGTAAGCAATTAATTGCTCAAGTCAATGAATCAAGCAATTGGCATCATAGGAGGCTTTTCCTTTGTCCCTAAATACCTTCCTACATAGCTGTTTCCTCTGCAGCACAGAATCAGGTTTGTTTATGAAGAAGTAAAGCAACACCCAGCTGCTTCGTTCTGAATGCTGAATATTTATCTACTGCCCTTTTTAAGAGAGTGAAAGAAGAGGAAGGCAAATAGAGAAGTTGCATAAAAAAAAAATTTCCGAAGTTTGTTGATTTGCTCATGTTGTCAAGTCACATTGTATCGACTGGATAACCTCCATCGTGCGGAGCAAAAGTGAAAGCGAGGGGAAGGAAAAAAAAAAACCAAAAGTGACTAATAAAGCTGACTCTTCATTACCTTCCCAGAAATGCCAAGGGCACCCAGATGCGCGGTGAGGAGAAGCACAAAAGCACAGCTTACTTTTGATGCCTACTGCTCACTACGCACCACAACAGCATCTCCCCAATTAGTCCAGAGGCAGCAGGGCACCACGCCAGCCTAGGAAGGGGTAGCCAGAGGAGGCTTTGCTCCCGTACCCTAGGAGCGGCCCGGCAGGGCGCCTCTCCCCCAGCCGGCAGGCAACACCTGGGCGCCCCTCGCAGGGGAGGGCCGGCCAAGGCCTCCAAGCACACCCGGGGACGGGGGCGGCCCATGGCCGCGGCTCCAAGGGCCTTCCCCCAGACCCGCACCCGGCCGCCCCGTTACCCCAGAGCCGAGGCAGGGCGGCCCAGGCTGGGCCCCCACGGTGCCGAGCCGAGCCCGCCCCGCCCGGGGCGCTACGCGGCAGGGAGGCGCCCACAGACCGGATCCCCCAGCCAGCTGCCCCCGCCCGGAGCGCGGAGAACTCCAGCCACCGTACACCTACCGGCACCACCGACCGCCGCTCCCTCACACCCCACCGGAGCCGAGCCGCCGCCGAGTCGAGCCGAGCCGCCCCTTTAAGAGCCCATCTCCCGCCTGTCCCCCGCCGCCACCCGACAGCGCCTCACCGCCCGGCCCCCCGGAAGCGGGAACCAGCACCGCCCAGCGGGCCCCGCCACTCCCAACATGGCGGCGAAGAGCAGACACCCCCGGGGCGGGCAGGGCGGAGCGGCGGGTACACCCAACATGGCGCCCGGGACACCCAACATGGCGCCCCGTACACCCAACATGGCGCCCGGAGAGAGCTTGCGCGCATGCGCCGCGGCCTCGCGCGGTTCCCTGTGTGGGCACTGGGTCAATAGTGGGGTTCATGACAAATATCCCTGCTTAAACCCGTGGGGCTCTCCTCAGGGTATCCTGGCCTGAGAAACACAGGGCTAATTTATAATGCCTGGAAAAAACGTGCTTTTAGGAGACCCCAGTGCCTGAATTTGTGAAAATACCTACTTTCTAGCCAGCTGTGGTGTGTGGGGTTCAAGGTCTGGGCGTTTCTGGGCCTTGCCAGGTGCGAGGATGAGGAGGAGTGAGACCTGGGCACTTGACCTAAGCTGCCCAACAGGATTGTTTCATACCATAAACGTCGCATTCTATAGAAATTACAAAGTTTGCCAAGAAGTTCTCTCTCACCCTGGATGGTGGCAGTCCAGGGAAGTTCTTGCCCCGTGCTGGACCCCTTCCTCCAGACCCCATAGTGCTCTCAGTGCCCCACATCTGCTGTCCCCAGCTGTGAGTGCACAGATTCCTTCTCATAGAATAGGCTGCGTATAATCCTTGTATGTTTTACATCAATACAGGATCAATATTGGTTCTTTAGTATTATCAATGTTACTTAGCTAGTCTTATTCTATTAAATCTGTTTATATTTCAGCCCTCAGGTTTCCTTGTTTTTCCCAATTCCCCTTCCTGAAGGGAGTGGGGAGGGGTCACACATAGAATAATTGTCTAACCAACAACAAATTGTTGTGGGTTCCTCAAACCGTACCACCAGGTGAGTTACTCTCTATAAAGAGGAAGTGTGTGGGCCCCTCTGCTGTTACCAGAGAAGGAGACTAGAAAGGGAAAGATGCCATTTGGCATTGCAGACCTTGTCTGTTGCGGCTTAGCCAGTGAGCCTTTCCTGAGGTGCGTTCCTTCTCAGGTGTGGGTCACTTCTTCCCTGTTGGGGCTGCCATTCAGATCACGAACCTGCTGTCAGGCTGCTAACTCGGAGTGGTGCCAGGAGCTCTTGCAGCATCGAGGCCAGAGGCAGTTTGTGCGGCTCTTTACGTCTGTCTGAAGTCCTTCACACCGCTGTGGCCTCGCAACCCGACCTTGGTTTCCCTTCTCTGCGGATGCTTGAGCTTCTTAAAAGTCCCCAGTGGATTAAGGCATACTGCACAGCCCGGGCATGAGCACATGGACTTCACCTTCTGTCCTTCAGATAGCTCCTGGAATGGATTTTCCAGCCGCAGCCACCCGGGCCCAGCACCATGTCCTGGGTGGCTTCTTGCTGCTGAGGTACCTGTGGTTTTCAGGGCCAGCTTTGTAGAGCGGCAGCACGTGGCACGATGTTCATAGCGCTATACTAACACAAATAATAGCGCTTCTTAGTATTATGGGTTGGTAAATGCCCCTATCCGATGGGCAAGTGCCGCTGGCCTCGCCTGAAGTGCCTCTGCCCAGGTGTCCCGCCGCCCGGACTACATTTCCCGGCAGGCACCACGGCGGCGCGGGCGTCCCTCCCGGCGTGCAGCGCGGCTTCTTTCCCGCTGCCTAATTGGCTCTGCCGAAGAGCTTCCCCGCCCCGCCGTGCGCCGCGGGTCTCTGTGGGGTCGGCCTGGCGCTGGTGCTGTGAGGGCGGTGGGCTGCGGGGCGAACGGCGGCCGGGCCTGCTCGGTGCCGACAGGGGGATGGGTTTCCGGGCTTCTGCCCTGTCGAGGGGTGCGATGTGTGAGTACCGGGGGTGGGTGGGGGAGCAGAGGCCTGAGGGAGGTCTGTGGCGGCAGCGGGGGTGATGGGGGGTTGCTCTGGCTGTGGTGGAGGGGGCGGCCTGGGGAGGGAAGGGGAGGGCAGGGGGCAGGCCTGGCCTAGAGGGGCTGTGGGCCTTGGGGTAGGCGTACGTCTTGCTTTACATCCTGAGTATCCTTTATTGCTGGAGTAATCTCTGAACAGTGTTATTCAGTTACATATAAGATTTGTTAGAGCAGTTTCTCTGTTGCAGCTGTGTAGCTATCATGCTCTGTGTGCCTGCCCAGAAGTGTTTCTACTGCTGAAGTGTGGCTTTGAGTGTAGAGTTGCTTAGTTACTTTGCTCATGACATACAGCTGAAAGACATGATCTAGTGAAAGCATGTGTGAATGTGGTGATAAGTGTTTGGTAACCTAAAAAGAGTGGGACTGGTAGTGTGAAACATGTGTTAACGATATAATGAAATATGAGATGTTTAAAATTAAGTACTCACCATTGCAAGCAGGGTAGTTCACATGCAAATCTAAGCATACAGGAACAGTTCTTAATACAATTTATGAGCTTCAGCTTGGAAAAGTTTATGAACATTAGATAGAAGTGGCATTGATGATTACTGTTTATACTTCAATATACTTTATTGATAGTGGTTTGGTAACAACAATCTCATGCAAGTAAGAAGCTTTCCTTTTTGCCTTCCATCCTGCCCCTTCTGAAGAGCACCTTTAAAGAAGTTTGTAGAACAGATAAGTTGTGAAGAGTGACCTGAGAGAGAAGAAGATTGAATTTTGATGGACTTTGTTTCCAGCATGAGTTCCTGGGGCTGCTTTTCCTACATCTCTGCTGGTTTTTTCTGTTCTTTTGTCATTTTATACTTCTTTCAGTCAAGCCTCAATTACTATATTCAACTAATTGACCATTTTGCAGAACCGATAGGTCCTGGTCTAAAAAACAGTTAACACTTTAAAAAAAAAAAGGTTAATAGTTTTGCCGAACTTTGAAATTATCTCCCCGTTAGGACTGCAACATTTGGGATAAATATTGCAGGTTCTCTGGGGCAATGCGGCTTTGTAACTAGTTAGCTTGGAAAATAGATTCCTGTCCTGAAGTCTCTTCTGTTAAAGATAACTCTATTATATTTTTTTTTTTTTTTCAGTCTTTGCTTCACTTCAGTTGAACTAGCAGTAAAAGGCAACTGCATTTGCGTCACCGCATTCCACTATTGACTGATTTGTGGGGTCTTTTTGTATGTAAAGTTTGTTAAATAGGCACTATGGTCTAGTGTTTTCAATTTGGAACAAATAATTGGTTTTAGCCAAACATGTTAGTCTGTTACCTGAGTCACTGTGACCAAACTTCAGGTAACTTCTAGCCCATATGTCCAAGAGCATCACATGTTTGAAGAGATGTCAGCTAAATGCATCTTAGTTTATGCAGGGCTCCGATATCCAGTACAAAGAATAACAGTGGCCACTATCCTAGAAATACAGATCCAAATTGTGTACAGGGATGCTAAGACTTGTCGTTAACTTCATCGAGGTAAAAATAAGGTATTTTTGCACTTTATCTTTTAAAGATAAAATACATAACATACCTGGAATTAGGAATCTTTTTAACATCTGGTAATCATCTTCCACGAACTCTGCCACCAGATGGTGTCGTAAGATTTGAGATGTCATTTGACTCAAGCTGATTATGGATAAATAAGAAGATACTGTACATTACAAATAACTTCTTTGTTTTTGTGAAAATGTTTTTCATATTTGTCGTGTAGATTTTTCTCATCTAGTCCCAGACTATTTTACGTTTTAATCCCAAATTGGCGGAGCCCCTAGTGTTCAGCCCTGGGACAAACGACCTGTTTTACAGAGGTGTGAGAATTCAGACAAACCCCTGTATTTCTATTGCCTGGTCATTAATGACTGCTGTCTTAATGTCTGGGATCCTTAACTTGAATATACTTGGCACTAAAGCTCCATACACTGACATGTGACCTGACTACCTTGGTTTAAGTGCCTCAAATCACTTTCCAGTGACTCTTAATACTCTGTAGTGACTGCATAAATAGAAGAAGTCTGATGACTGAGTGCTCTCCTACGGGCTCTCTTGCATCTATGTATTCTTAGGGAATCTGCATCATTTTGCCAAGGCCAGGTACCCGCTTCTGTGACTCTGCAATAGATGGGATGCATAGAGTAGTCTGTTTAGATTTATTTTCTGAGTCCTTGCTTGTAAGTTCCAATAAAGAGACATAGTGTGCATACCTGTGAAGGGTACTATGAGCTTAAATACTCTAGGAAGGGAAAAAGATACCTGCCACTTAAGTTTATGCTTATTTCTGTAACATTTGGCTGTATTTCTGTCATTCTTATAAGGGTCTGTTTGTTAAGGAGCCTTTTATAAATCGACACAAGGTTGTCAATAAGCTGACATGAATTCTTTTTTAAGTCACATAAATATCTAAATTGGGTAGGTTATCTGTTCCCCATATTGTTGATCACTGTGTTGCTACTTAATTAGACTTTGTCTCAATTGTTAGCAGTTATGTTTGAGGCTATAATGGTAGTAGGGGTACAAAGAATGTCCCCCTCCAAAGAGTGCTGATAGGAGTCTTAGTTGGAGTACTGTGTTCGGTTTTGGACATTTTTTTAAGAGTGTTGTGAGCAATTTGGAAGGAGGGATTCTAATAGGCTCAGGAAATGTGATGTTTGAGAAAAACATCTGAAGAAAGAGTTTGCCTATGTCTAAAAATGGACTGGGAGTCTAGGGGAAAACAGAAGCTTTCCAGGTATGTGGATTTTAGGTGTCCCTAAATGACAGCATACAGCAATAAGACCAGGCTGGATGGGGCTTTGAGCAACCTGGTCTGGTGGGAGGTGTCCCTGCCCAGGGCAGGGGGTTGGAACTCGATGATCTTTAAGGTCCCTTCCAACTCTAACCATTCTATGATAATAACGCTGAGCAGCTCTCCGTTCCAGTTAGGGCAGTGTATATCCCTGAATCTTCCAGTGCATAAAAAACAATCACAAGCAAGATAACAATAAGGTATTTACTTTTACAAGGAAGGAATTATTATTTCAGTTTACAGCAAGGAAAA